GTAAAAACATGTCAAATTTGAAATGCTTTCCAAACTCACTAGATATCACACAATTTAGGAATGCAAACGACTTCTTGCTGCATGCAGTGTGTTATGAGGAGCGAGCATGTCAACTCACAGGCGGCCCAAGCTCACGTCTCGAGAAAAAGCAAATCATCAATTCATGAAAGCGTCACGCATTGTGTGACTCGGTGCTAAGTTACGAGAGCTGAACCGTTGAGAATTTGAACACGTTGTAAGGTCGGGGTTGGATGCCGAATAATGGACCTCGATCACTCATTATTCTTGTTTTTTTTTCCGGATTATTCATTATTCTTTTCTAAATTTTGTTTGGTTTTCATTCTTCCCTATTCCTTGAACGTAAGCAAGATTTTTCTTGTTAGACTAGATTTCAGGTTTAATTCATGATTGTAGTGTTACTCGATCATAATCGATCTATAAGGGAACTGCTTCGCAACGTTTGTAATTGTTAACTTGATCTGGACGTAGTAGTTTCTCAATGGCAATGCGCGCCACTTTATGATCATGATGCGAGGAAATGTCTTACTGAAATTCTCCGATTATTTCGTCGAAATAAGCATACAGCATAGAAATCCGTATCTCGATTCATCCTCCCGGTGGTTTCTTGGAAAAACTGGATCAAGGACCACCGGACCACCGGATCAAGGATCAAGGATCAAGGATCAGTTCAAAATGAATCAAATAAATTAAATAAATTAATAGGCATGATTGATTGCTCATCTACGTGACTCAGTCAAGATCTCCCGTATGCTAAAGCGAAAATAAGAGAAAATACTAAAGACTTAAAAAGCCATACCACTTTGTGGAAGTGTCAATTTTCGCCTACCGACTATTAGGACTGCTATTGAAGACTGACAGGTACGGAGCGGGTTGACTTGTGCATATTCTATATTCACATGAAATTTCTAAATTATCCTGAGTGTCGGTATGAGACTGCCTCTGACTTCCGGTGCAATTTCAAAACACGAAGCTGTTTTTGGCGACTGCCGGAGTGAACAGCAAATTTTCAGCTGCTTTATCTTCATCTCTTCAAATTTTTACTGACCTCATATCCTTAAAGGAAGAGTAGATGGAATGCATCTGCAGAGTCACTTGCTTATAAGAAGACGTTTTAGTCGTTTTTCCGACGGGATTTGACAAGACATGATTCGGAAAGTGATAAAATTGTATCGCCCCACTGAGATGTTGTTGTGAGTCCCCTGGAGTATACATGGAGGCAACAAGTCGAGAATCTCAAGAACACACACTGGACAATTCTTAGTCTTAGGTGATTTTTTTCTTTTAAAGAAAGTACCTGTCGACTGACGAGGAAGAACTGTTTTTTTTTTTTTGTTACCACGAAGCACAGCAGGCACAAAACTTAGTCCCACACTTTTGATCACTCCCGACAAAATAACGTTGACATTTGCCGATTCTCTGTTTCTCAGTAGTATTAACAGGGGAACCGCACCAACGGTTAAGCATGGTACGTAAAAGCTGAAGACCGAAGACCGAAGACCGAAGACCGAAGACCGAAGACCGAAGACCGAAGACCGAAGACCGAAGACCGAAGACCGAAGACCGAAGACCGAAGACCGAAGACCGAAGACCGAAGACCGAAGACCGAAGACCGAAGACCGAAGACCGAAGACCGAAGACCGAAGACCGAAGACAGAAGACCGAAGACGGAAGACCGAAGACCGAAGACCGAAGACCGAAGACCGACCGAAGACCGAAGACCGAAGACCGAAGACCGAAGACCGAAGACCGAAGACCGAAGACCGAAGACCGAAGACCGAAGACCGAAGACCGAAGACCGAAGACCGAAGACCGAAGACCGAAGACCGAAGACCGAAGACCGAAGACCGAAGACCGAAGACCGAAGACCGAAGACCGAAGACCGAAGACCGAAGACCGAAGACCGAAGACGGAAGACGGAAGACCGAAGACCGAAGACCGAAGATCGATTGGATTTGTGGCCGCCCGGTCATTTTGAGCTTCGATTTTTCGCCTCTCGGATCGGGCGTTTGGAAATGGAGTTTTAAGCCTTAGGCTTTTCTTATGTACGTTGAAAACTTAAAATGGGCTCTTTTCATCAAAGTAAGCGGTCAGATAACAAGCGATACGGTGTGAAAGTAAGGTGAGGTATTTTTATTGAGAATTTGACGTATTTTTCAATTCCTTAGAGCGGTCGTAAATATTCCCATACAAACTCTTATAATTCCGCCATGACTGTTATTGCGCAAACGATCACCTCACAGCTGGAGCTTGGGCTGCCTGTGCGCAATTTAAACGTCAAACGATTCCATAACAGTACATTTGACAGAAAACCTGTCAAGCTGTAAAGTTGTCTTACAACTCGAAACACTTCTGGCCAGAAGTTTCGCCGGGAGACTTTTTGCGTCTCTTGTAGTTTACTTTGCACATTATTGATTTCACTTAAAAAAAAAAAAAAAGCTTCGAACAAGAAAGCGGTATTTATTATTCCATTGGCATGACTACGTTATTCATTATTCCAAGGTTTTCGAACCCAATTATTCATTATTTACTTTCAACTTAAACCCGTCATTCATTATTCATTATTCAGCTTCCACTCCCGGTAAGGAATAGAATTGGAAACAAAATTTGGTCGATTTACAGCGATAAATATTTCAAAATATGAACATTTTACACGTGAAATCAATAATACTTACTGACATCCTGTGTGTCCGTTGTAGTTTCTGGCGATTTCTGCCGTTTTAAGCTTGCTTTTCCATCACTGCTATTTCTGTCATAAGACTACGTTTGATTTTCTTCAGCTTTGTGTAAATTATGCAAATTACTATCGCAGATCATCGATGTGCTGTCGTTTGAAAATTGCTTGAATAGTTAAAAATACCCTAAAATAAATCTTTACACTGATCTGAACAGGGATTTGATCTCTAATTTTCAAGAAATTATCATTCAAGTCATCATATATGATGCAGTAAGTGTGCAAAATAAAATGACGAATGAGTTTTCAAAGTCACTTCGGTTTTATCAACTGAGTCAATAATGCTAATTGGCCTCAGAGTTGTGAGGCTGACGTTTCGAACGTTTGATAACCTTTCGTCAGATCGGAACTATTCACTTTGACAAAGGGCTGACGCTTGAAACGTCAGCTTCAGAATTAATTTCTTTATGGTGGCTATTTTTTATTATCAACTTAGTTGATAAGTAGAGAATAATACATGGGCGCGCGTAGATATGGAATTTCTCTTTGAGTGTTTAACTCGATGAATTATTTTGTTTATCATATGAAGACAATAGCCTTTTACTGAAAGAAAAGCCTACTTTATTAATGAATGAAAATATATGAATCGACAATCCCCGAATAACAATTGTAGAGTGCGTTAGCGCCAACTCTTAAGATGGAAAATGTGTTGGCTCATGATTATAAAAACAACAATGGTCGTAATTTTTAATTTACAAAATTCTCAGTTATTGACTTTGTCCTTACTGACAGAAGAAGTCTCTCAGGTAAGCAGCCAAAATCGGCCTGTGGCAAATCTTCCAGTTGTCGATTTTAATTCTCAGCCGGATGAAATGCTAACACTAAAGCCACTGAATACATAACTTTCAGTTTTTCTTTTAGTATATTGATTTTTTCCCTTTCTAGGAAAATTTGAACCTCACTGTCTGTCAACGATACGGAATTTGTAGTGTTTTAGCCGCCATAGTTCAAGAAAGCTCCGACAAACAACTTGTATGTAGAATCGTGAGGGCTTTGCCGTTCATTCACCAACCTGACCGAGTGGCGGCAAAGGCGAGTGACGTGACAGTAGCTGATTGGCTATATCAACACAAGTGAAAAAATACGATATTTTTCCACGTGTGTTGTTACGGCTTTCCGAGGCCCGGAAATCTCTATATAACACCGTAGTTTATGTCATGAAATCAAATTCTCTTGTGATAACCCTACCGACGCAGTACCACAATTTATTTGGAAACTTACCCCCTTATTCATTTCCTTAAAACTCAGGCTATATGCATTGTTTGCAAAGTATCAAACGCTATGGATGACAAGAATTTTTTAAACAAATCCTTGTTTCCTTGACACCGTAATCACCACTTTAAGCTCGTCTCTGCAGTAACTTTTTTAGCATAAAATTCCACGTCAGCAATAAATTGGAGATTTCGTGCTTTGAAGTGAGTTGGTCCTAAACTCTCCGCCGTACGTAAAAGACATGCCAGGCCGAAGAAAGTACCGGGCAAGCCCCGCCGGTTTTTCCAAATTTCTAAGGTAAATCAAGATATCCGGAAGGTCGAGCATGCGATTGATTAATATATGATTGACTGCTTTGTTCAACTGAACGCCCCACCGGTATATCTAAGTTTCTGGAGTAAATTATGATAAATGAAGAGCAAACAAACGATTGAACGATGTAGAATTCAGTGCTTATTTCAAGCGCATCGTAATCTTCGTTCGTGGAAAATCATAAACTCGCTACTTTAAGCGCCGTTCAAACGGTCATGATAATTGATGATGGTTTCAACTATCACGCGCATTCGAACACGAACCATAAGGCACTATGATCGACTATCGTCGATTACCGTCAACTATCATGCAGTGTCGACATGATAGTGTATGATAGCGGAGCTCGCAGAGCGTAGCCCCATAATTATACAAAATAGTAGTAACCCATCAAGCCGAAAAAATTTGGATGTACGACCGTACGACCGTACGACCGTACAAGGTGTATACTTTAAACATGCGTGGTCAACTGTACCGCGGGCACGCGAACGGCACGGCTTTGTCCAGTAGTTCAGTGGTCAGTGCGCTGGGCTCCGAGTCGGATGACCCGGGTTCTAGTCCTGGCCAGGGCAAGGCGTTTTGCCCTTGAGACGTGCGGGAAAAAAATGCGAGCTACGCTTTTAGGCTTGGCTTAATCTATATATTAGTTTTTCGGTAAGCAGTTTTGCCAAAAACGGACTTAAACCGAAATGACAAATGGGAACTAAAGACGTCAAAATTTCTAAAAATGTCTCTTAGTTTATACTCATCATCTCCTGGTAGACTTAAGTCTCTTCTACTCAAAACTCGTCGACTGAAATTTCAAAATGCCACCGAAATTGCAGACCTCAGCGATCTCAATGGAAATCTCATCACGTAATTTTGTCATTTTGTCAAAAATCGTCAATAATAATGATGAACCGTCTGAACGCGAACGTAAAAGTCAATGATAGCCAGAGATTATACAATCTGTTAAAAACATATCACCTATATAATGAACCTTTTGAACAGGGTTTTAATGTTTATGAGAATTGCCAAAATTCGGCAAAGAGCGATTTCTTTTTGAACACGCAATTAAATCATTCCGCTACTTTTCCTTTCTGATTAGTATCGATAGGATTGCTTTTCCAATAAACTCTCATACTAATAACTATTTCATCTGATCAAGTCTGAACAGAACTCGCAGAATCAACCAATTTATGGTTTCTTGATTGGTTACAAGTTGGTAGATAGCCTTGAGAACATTTTCTTCTGCCTACAGATTTGCCAATGGCGCTAGTAGGCCCCACATTTTCATTCTCTCAAACTATACGTTACATGCTCTTCTTTCTCACAATCCAAGTTTATTCTGAAATCTGAAGTTTGGGTTTTTTAAAGTTTTTTTGGGGGTTAATTTGGCTGTATATAAATACTACGACCACCCATGACGTGTTGGTGCAGATAGACGAAGTAACCTCTTTAGGATCAACAACAATTGTTCTGAGGATGACTTATATATGAACTATTCTTTTGTTTCAGTTGTCAAGGAAATCGTTTCTGTATCCTGATTGGTCTTTGTCTCTTCGTTGTTATCTTGGTTTGTGTTCAAATGAGGCTTCTGACTGGAATATACAAGGGGATATTGGTGGAGAAGTTCTATAAAAATGATCATGAGCTGAGCCAGGAAAATAGCCCTTTACATACAAGAGGAATGCGAGGCCAACACGAAGAGAAGAAGCGACTGAATGTGATAATTCTGACCCATATGAGTTCCGGTTCATCTTTCACCGGGAACATTTTCAATTTGCATCCAGATGTGTTCTATCTTTACGAACCCCTTCACGATTTAAGAAAGGTTGAATATGAAGAAGACTGGATTCCGTTGAACAAAACCATGAACGATGCGTACAAAATTGACTTTTCCAATTTGCTTCGGGACCTGTTCACGTGTGAGTTTAAGGAAGAAACAACTCTGAGGAGAATTTTTGCTGAATTTTTGAATGTGCCAAAGCGTATTGCATTTATGTATTGGCGCTTATTGAACTCAGAAAACACAAATGAAACGGTCAGGAAAACTTGCTTAACTAAGCATATAACAGCAGCAAAAATCATGCAGACAAGGCTGCCACGTGAAATCGGAATACAAGAACTACAGAACTTCTGTGGTTCCAATGGTATGAAGTTCAACTGTTTGTTTATCCACCTCGTGAGAGATCCCCGCGCAATGCTCTCTTCGTTATTGAGGCGTAAATTTTTTATTCGGGATTCCAGAAATTTGATGTTTTCATCAAGAAACTTGACTTCAGCGGCTGCGGAATTTGTTAAGAAAAATGCGCAATTATTATGCTCGCAGGTTGCTGACAATTTAAATTATGTCAAGCAAAACTGGTATAACTTTTACGACCGTTACACGCTCTTGCGTTATGAAGATATCCTCACGGATCCTTTATTCGCAACGAAGAAGTTGTATAATTTTGTTGGTCTTCCAATGGTTGAATCTATCTACAAGTGGATCGTGGGAGGTAAACAATTTGTTAACACGACTGGTTCCCAGTTCTCACAGAAGATTGTAACTAGAATTGATCACTGGAGGTCGGAACTAGATCCCTCTCTGGTATATTTATTCGAGGAGGCCTGTAAACCTCTAATGAAACTAATGGGATATATTTCTATAAATGACCTTGATCAAGCTGAGCAGAAGGACAGTCAGTTGTTAATTACTGAAGAAATACCAGTTTTGGAGGAGTTGCCATTCATGAAATATTGAAGATATATTGCAGGGAATCAATAAAATTTGAAATAAAGCGCTGTGTGGCTGTCACAATGGGTGCCGTAAAGGGAGGAAGAAGTGCGAGATCTATCCCCCTGCATACCCCGCCCCTAGGCCTATTTCAATCTAGTTTTAGCACATCCTATGATACTCCTCGTAATTTCTTGCTTTGGAGAACGGAACGAAGTCCGGCGATGGGGTGAAAAGGAGTATTAGGGGTATTTTATTGATAATAATATTTGTAACGCTACTTATCCTTGATAATCATTTTATTCAATCATCAGTGCGTCAGTTTTTTTTCCTTATTTCTAAAGCAATAAGCTGCTCTGTTCATTTCATGACGTTACCTAAAAATGTAAGAATATAACTAGATTTAGTGATTTCAGTTCTTCATTGCAAGATGAACATGGCAGTAAAATTTTTAAAATGAAGTTCCACTCAAAACTGCTCTATAGACAGGCTTAAAATCTTCGCCTCGACCCAGCTTAATTCGAGTAAAACAATGCAGTAGCTGTTCTTAAAGCAACGAAATATCTATTAGTAACTTCGAATTAATTTCCAATACTAAACTATTAGGTGTCTCTTTCATTACGTATACGTGATCTATCACTCCAAATTATATTGCCAGGAACCCCTACGCAAACATCATACGGATACAGTGCCTTGCGAAGCCATAATGTCTCACAAGGCAATAAGAAAGAGTCGCATCACAGCTTTTTCGTTCCAGTTATGTCCCATGATCAACTCAGCCAGCCTAACTCAAGAGAGAGGTTTTTTTTCTGGCGAAGTTTCTATCGAATGGGAATGTAGCACCTCGAGGTAATGTTACTTCGCTTAATATCGGTCATGAAGGAAGGCGAAAAATTGTTTCATGCCTCGGTAATAGATCTTCTCAGATATTTGTCATATACTTCAGAGATTTTTCACAGCCATTTATCGATAGATTCCATAATAAGGGAACTCGCAGTTCACAGATAGGGAAGTGACTTCGGTAAACCTTGTCGTAATGTCTAATGTAATTATAAAAGGTGACTTTTATCACATTTGTAAATTGATTTTGTAAGAATGACCCCGAATGAATGAGAATATAGAATGAATGAGGGAATCAGGGAACTGAATTCTTTGGAAACATTTAGTTTTTTCGTTGATAGCCATCCTAGGATTGTTTTTACTAGCATCTAGAGCTTTTGAACTGCTACATTTAATCATCACTGTGGACATAAGGTAGTTTGCGCACTTGACCATTCTTCTTGATTTTGAACTGAAAATTACAACCAAAGCAGGAATTCAGATAATGGAAATGCTGCTGGAGACTTCAAGGAGAAGTTACAATGACTTCAAACCTGCCTGCTAGAGGTAACATAAGTAAATAAACGCCCCTGGCGCTAAATCGATTTATTACGATATTGAACAAATACGAGTTGCTGGAGTTATGCAGAATGGGACGTAGATCATTATCACAAACTTTGAACCGTCAATCCACTTAGGGACCAGTCATCCGGGGGGGGAGGGGATCGAAAAAAATTGGTTTTGTCACGATGAATTTACTTGATCCCCCATGAGGCTCTGTAATATTCGTTTGCCTCACTCCCTTCTCCCCTCCCCCCTTCCCCCTTTATTGGCAGTTAGTTGGCAGTCAATTTTATACAGTCCTCTCTTTATGTATTCTTTTGATGACGAATGCACCCTCCGACCGTTACCCCTGAAAACATGTGATCCACCCCAAACCAACACCCCACCCTACCCCCCCTCCCCCCCAGGGCATGAAGAGTGATTGTTTACCATTAGTGTGTGTGGATTGTGTGGATATTAGTGTACACAAATATATATTTATATATTTTTTCTTTTTTTTTTCTTATGTATATTTTAAATAGTACAGTAAACTTTTTAAGTAAGTTCACACCCCTACTAGAAACCAGCTTTTTATAATATTGATGATAGGCTAGCGTGTTTAAATAAAGTTTAACTATCTATTATCTATCTATCTATCTATCTATCTATTTGGTCCCTTATTCGTTCGTATTGCACAGCTGCACACTGAACATCGATTGCTGTCATCTTCCCCCCCCCCCCTTTCCACTCTCACCCCAATAACTACATTCTCTTTGGTTTATGAGCAGTGCAAAGCACTTTCATAGATATTTTGCAAGACTTAAAGTCCCTTATAACTTTAGTTATTTCAAGCGATCGAAACAGAACTCTCTGTCGCAGTTCTAGTTAATCAATGATACCTATATGGTCCTATGCGATTTTGATAATTTAAGAAACTGAAAAAAAATAAAAAATTGTTTTTTTTCATACTCCAACCTACCCACTAAAACTACTTACTTTGTCTTAATATGTTAGGGTATATTTAAACAGTACTGGGTTTCTTAGAAATATATATTCATCAATGAACAAAGTATTAATGTCATGATGTGGTAAACCGCCACAAGCCGGCGTGTACAATACGCATTTTCCCGCCATCACTTGGCGTCGCCCTTTATTGATCTTTGAGTCTCTTATGTTCTAAATATAGCTACGTGGACCGGACTCGGTAAGGATCAAATCACACACGAGTCTATAGGCGACGATGGAAGAACACGATAACAGGTTTGTTGTTAACCGCTCTCCCAAAATCGTGCGCGGATCGATAAAGAGGCAGTTAATCGTTTTTACAATGTTAATTGGAAATTTTCAAATTTTCCACATCGAGTTTACAAAGAAACAAACAACAGTTTCTTGACTAACCAGAGTGTTCGCGGTGATGGGCTACTTTGGAAATAATAAAGTAATACTGGATTTACAAATCTGTTCGACTACTAAGAGGAAATTGGTCGGTGCGGTTCTCGACAGTATCCGCCGCTAGCTTAGGAAACAAGTTATAAGCGATATATCGAACTTTACTTTTAAGGTCTCTTTTCCTTAAAGTGTACGCAAGTGGGTTGAACATTGACGTACAGAGCCTAAGGTAATAGATAGCGAAAACAGTCATTGGATGTAAATTATCATTATGGGTCTGTTGCACGATTTCCAATATGAAATAAGGCAGCCAGAAGATGACGTACAGTGTGAGAAGGAGAACACAAGTTAAAACAGCTCTCTGGCGCCTTCTTTGAAGCTTCCTCTCGCGTTTCTCAAACTCTGTAGGCAAATTCTCACGTGCAATTCTCTGACACTGACTTCGAAGCAGCAACAGCATGTGGGTATCAAGTACACTCATGATAATGAGTGGAATCAGAAAAAATACGATGACGTTAAACAGAAATAGTATAGTCTCCTTCTGGTGCATAGGTTCCAGGTCCTCTGGGGCTGTTTCTATATTGAGGTTCCAAGTCCATGAAAGTCGAACCAAAGAGGTGAGACTGAGAAACCACGTAATGCCAAGGACGATCAAAACTCTTTTACGATGGACGATATCGCGGTAGCGTAACGCCCATACGATATAGATGTAACGATCGCAGGTCATCACAGTGATGTGAAGCACGGTGGAGAGGGCCATGAATGTGAAAAAAGTATATGAGCTTATACAAATGGGAGATATATAAGTATAGGTACATGCCAAGAGGAGTGGAATTCCAACCAGACCTACCAAGAAGTCTGATACAGCTAAACTGGCCAAGATGATGTTGCTTGGCGTTCGTAAGGACGAATACGAGGCAATAAGAAAAATGACACCGCCATTAATCGGTAAAATAAACACCATAAAAACAAAAGCAGGAACTGTTTGAGGCGAAAAGGCAAAAGGGCTGTCATCTGTAGAATTTGACGACATCGTGTTTCTGATCGTTCTCGAAATCACCTGCGTGGTGAAGATTTTATCCCCGTGATGAATACTCCTTTCTTTTCAAATAAAGTGTGCTTGGTTTTCTGTTACAAGCGTATATTGATTCAAGTAGAACTGAGAGCTTATTTGGGCCTTTGATTCGAGAAGACAGTTTGGTGAAGGCCCTCTTTCTTTGGACGTCTGTCGTGATTGTATCTGTGAACAAATCAAACACAAAAAATCAATTCAATTCTCCATTCGCTCAATCTGATGAAAAAAAAAAATGAAAAGACTCTGTGATGTTGCCTTTCTGAAATATGTGTTGGTTCAGCTGCTTCTCTGGGCCTGATGTAATTTGCATGATATCTATCTATCCATCAAGATTTGATCTCCTTTTTAGGTTCGAGCATTCAATAAAAATATATTTTTTGAATAATGAAAAATAATGATTAAAAGAAACAGTGCAGTTATATCAAAGATATTAATTTGTTAATCATCCAGTGGAATAGAATGCTTGCTGAGAACAATTTCGTCTTTTTTTCTCCGTTTATTGCTTGCAAATTACTGTTTAACTCCAATTTTTTTCTTAGGTCAACATTTGCAGATAATTGGTTGGACATGAATTATTTCTCTCCCTTTGAAAAATCCAAGATATATTTTCCATAGTGTTGGGCAGACATGTAATGAATGTTTAATCGGTTAACAAAATAGCAGATAAGTTAATGGCAGAGTTGCTTAAACCGCAATTTAACCTGCTCACTAATTTTTTTACTCTTAAAACATCTCCACAGATTCAGTATATTTTGAGTTTGCTGACTTTTAACTAGACATGTGACTCTCGACCAGTGTATAACAAATGAAGCTTCCATATGTTCCTTTCTATTCTTAGCAAAAGTGCCTTTCCGGGCTAAAGGTTTTGCAAAGATCTGCAGTGTTTACTTCAATTAATATTTCTTTTCTTTAACTTGGAAACAATGGACAATTCTTTTCATTTCTCAGATAACGTTAATCTGTTGAGTAAATTTCCATGATATTTATTTATACTTCTACACGAAATCGGGCCAATTTGTGATCTGAATCAGCGTAAAGATTTACGCATTTTTCGGTTTGTTTTCATACTTTTCTATGAACTGAAAAATCGACGCGCACGACTGTGTTTCAAAGAAAAAAAATAGTGTCTGTGAGAAGTGTCCAATTACCAGTTCGGTGTTTTACCGTTTCTAAGCTGCAGGCCTTAAGAATTCATTGGGTGCGTAGATGTGTTTACTTCGATCTACTAAGTACGATATAAATTTGTTATGATTTGGTCATAGACGACCATGGTTCAAAATCACTTTGGTGAATACAAAGCGTCAGGCTGTAGACAGATCCTCCCTTTTTCCGTCGATGCAATAAAGATAAAACATATTGTGGTGTAAAAGAATTAAAACACTCAGTGATCAAAGCCAAATAAATGCCTTTAAGCTAGGATAAAATATTAAGATCTTTCTCAAGACTATTATTTCTAGTCGCAATTAAGATAAAAAAAGAAATTGTTCGCAGCTTATTTCATGCAAATATCGATTGAAATTTGATACTCAAGTTTTCGTCACTGCAAATACAAGTAAGTTTCACCAACCTTATTCTCTATCGTTAAAAGCCAAAATTTAATATGCACAGGCCGCCTCCTCAAGAGAACTAAGCTTGCCTCTGGCACAGCGCTCCTATAATTTCGAGTTGAATTGCGATTGTAAATATCAGTTATTCCCTGCTGACAACTTTTGGTAATTGTAGGATCCAATTATCTCTTTAGAAAGTTTCCGTTTTCGATATATACAGCGCTGTGTGCCTCTTTAGATCTGTTTAATTATTATTGTGATTTTACGCAAAAATAGAATGATTTATAACGAGAAAAAATGCAAATAAGCATGACCTCTCGTTTTTCCTTTCTTACGCAAAATGATCGGATATGTTCTGTGAGCTTTATGGGTCAAATATTGCAATAGTTTTGTCGTGTTTTTGTTTCATCTGAAAACAACAAAAAAAACAAAAAAGAAAAAAAAGACAGAAAAGAAAAACCATAAAAACAAAAAAGCATAGTAGTAATAATAGTTACTGTAAGGCTTAAAAAAAAAAAATTTAAATATTCACAACCAAAATTTCTTGTAATCAGAAGTCGTTCGTATGCAAAATATGGCCGAAGGTCAAAAATTGTTCTAAACAAAGCAGGCAAAGTTACAGCGCTAGAATGTCTTTGGCCTGATTAAGCCCTCTATGGAAAAATAATTTGGTTCCTTGTCCGTTGTAAACGCAGTATGAAGTTACGCGCAATTTTTGTTTTGCAAGCATTCTAATATATTTTGTTAACAAGACCAGCATTTATTCTATTCATTGTCTGTATTTAAAAGGCAAATGTCGTCGATTAAAGCAGAGAAATTTTCCTGTAATTGCAGCGGCAATAACATTTGGTATTTTGTACCATTGATACGACTTTCTTTCACAAAACTTTCGAACCTCCGCGCTTATTCATCCAATCAATGAGGAAATAAGAAATATTTAACAACGTTGCATACTTTTTAATTCAAACTTGAGAACATTTGGTAGTTTATCACGTTTTTTTCCAAGCGCCAGGCTGAATTAATGAAAAAAACGAAGACTAAATTGAAAACCGCGTTATAGAATCAGGATAATATTGGTTCACTAGGTTTATCTAATAAATGCAATGAATAATTTCCCCTACCTAAGGTGTATGCTTTGCCAAAATGATAATAGCTCCAGGAAAAAAAATACGCCTGCAAACGGTATTGTGTCTCTTTAGTGTGTCTAAACATCAAATTGTGATGAAAACAATTTAGGAAAAGTTTACGCCAATTAGAAACAGCTGTATTCTTCAATCAAATAGAAAATTCTCGTAATTTTTAATTTGCATTTGTACTTTCCCTCTTGGCCTTTCACGGAGTACTATATTCTCGTCTAGTTCTTTTCTAATTTTATCAGGAAATTTCCTATTTTTGAAATGTGAGCTTGCACTACCGCTTTTCATATTTGAGATCGGAGATGGGATGGTACCACATGGAGCGAACCTTATTCGTCGTGACGGTCTGCGAGGGAGAGATCAATTATCTGCGCAAAAATATATTTTAAAAATTGACTTAATAGACGCCCTTCAAGTCTTTGCCATCAAAACGGTACTTTCACAGCCAGCTGTCTATGAATCTCATTGTCAAGCTTTCCCTCGGAGGTAGTGTATCACGCAAATTTAGTAGACGCAAGGATGACCTCACACATAGCAGTAATTCTTAGATTATCACAGAGTAACTCTTGTTTTCATCATACGCTGTAGGAACATTATCTTTGAATCAAACAACGGTGTTTCGCAGGGGAAATAAATATGAAAGATACGCAATGCAGTAATTTTAAAAAAAAATTATATTTGATGTCTCATAGAAATGACTATCACATTTTGAATAAGAAATGAGTGTGTCTCCAGGCTTATTGCAAGTATATTATGCTACACTTCACCTGACCTGAAGACTTAGTTTGTTAGCGTTCTACCAAGATTTATACAGCGATTTGATGTTCAAATAAATAAATAGAATGAGAGATGTTTAGAGTGATGCTTCCCGGTGAAACCAGCCGTCGACAGAATTTCATCATCCGGTCAATTTATCGGCGGTAAATGCAACAATTATCTTTAATATAGAAGTGATCTTCGAGAAATTTCAGGGACCGAACCTTTTTTTCTTATAGCTGAACGCTTCAGAGGAAAGGAATAATGTCTCTCTTCGAAACAGGCGATGAAATAAATATCAACGTGATTATTCAAATGTGATTCATCGAATGAGGCATATTTTTTCTTAATGGCAGAAGTTAAGCTGTTTGCCTGACATGAATTAATATGAAATCAAGATCTACATGATTATTTAAATTTGAACATTTCGTCCGCCGAGGTAAATTTGTTCTTAATGGCAGAGGGTTAGCTGTTTGCTTGACAACAAACACTTTTGATAATTAATCTCTTGATTATGATTTAAAATGTTTGCGTATTTGTAGCCCTGTCTATCCGTCTAAGAGAGCCGATAACGGACAAAACAAGATTAAAAAGAAAAAACGAAGCTAAACAAAACAAAACGAACAATCATACAAAGATGATAATAGCCAAACCATAAGAGGAAGGCTTGATGCTCCGTGCGCGCAAGGTAAAGATTCCGTAGCTTCGAAGTATACGCAAATCACACCACATTTTGAATTAGAAATGACTGTGTCTCCAGGCTAACTGCAAGGAGTTACACTACTCTACACTACACTTCACCTGACCAGAAGACTTAGTCTGTTAGCGTTCTAACAAGATTCATACAGTAATTTGATGTTCAAATAAATAAATAGAATGAGAGATGTTTAAAGTGATGCTTCCCAGTGAAACCAGCCGTCGACAGAATTTCATCATCCGGTTAATTCATTGGCGGTAAGTGCAACACAAAACAAGTTGAAAACGGAGCTTTTCGAAAACGCTATGAGTAAATGCACGGCAACTGGACACGGTCCCAAGAAGACTAAGTGCCCGACAGTCAGAATTTTTCAGTGTGAAGTGATCTTTGAGAAATTTCAGGGACCGAACCTCTTTTTTCTTATAGCTGTACGCTTCAGAGGGAAGAAAAAATGTCTCTCTTCGAAACAGGCGATGAAATAAATATTTACGTGATTATTCAAATGTGAAGATCTTCAACAAACACTTTTGATAATTAATCTCTTGATTATCATTTAAAATGTTTGCGTATTTGTAGCCCTGTCTATCCGTCTAAGAGAGCCGATAACAGACAAAACAAGATTAAATAGAAAAAACGAAGCTAAACAAAACAAAACGAACAATCATACAAAGATAATAATAGCCAAACCATAAGAGGAAGGCTTGGTGCTCCGTGCGCGTAAGGTAAGGGTTTCCGTAACTTCGAAGTATACACAAATCCGGTTCATGAACAGACTTGTTAAATTTCAAAACTGAGTGTTAACAATCAGTGCTGAAAAGCATC